TGTAAAAAGTTTTGTGTTTTCAAAATTACTATTTGTGTATATTTTTACAGTCAGTTGTCATAACAACGCCTACAGTCAGTGCCCGCTATTCATAGAAACCAATGCATTGAGAATATTGAGAGGAATTGTGCCTTTGTTTCTACTAATTGGGATTACAGTCTACTCCGTGTATTATATACACGAATTGTGTATAAATCATAATTGATTGCCAGATATAATATACAAATGAATATATTAGTGATATTATACAATGTATTGCAATATTGAATACAATGCATATCTCATAATCAAAAGTAACATAACGTTTGCATTCATTTGAATACAGAAAGAGTATAAAAAGTTCATTGAATTGAACGTTAATATTTGTTAACAACTAAACACTAATTGTAATAATATTTATCAATTTTGCAATTGTTTTGCTCACTATATATATAAATAATGATAGAATTAATACATTTATAGATTATACATGACCAATCACTGTCCTACAAATTAAGACCTAACGCACTGTAATAAATAAACATGATAGTTAATTGAATGATAAATAATGGTATCATTAATTTGTCCATTCAATCAATTATTGATTTATTAGTAAAATTCAGATTACATTTTATGGTAGAAGAGGATGGGTTGGGTTTGGGTTAGGATTTAATTTGGTTAGATCTAACATGGTTACAATGGATTCGGTTCTTCTAACTTCTAACGCTTTAAAAATGAATTGAATTCAAACTTTTTCAAAACTTTTACAAAACTTTATAACGTTATAAGTTATAACTTATCTCAATAAATCAAAGACTACTGTATAATGCAGAAAAAGTCCTCTACTATTGGTTTTTTAATATTATTTATATGTTATTTAAGAAATAATTACAATTATTTTTAATTGACATTTGAAGAGCACATCCATTCATCTTTCCTGAGTGTCACTCATTTAGACGACGAGTGGAGGAGAGCTCTCATTACCGACTAATTTGTTTGTAAACCCGACTGTCGCTCACCTCTAATCCATATCAGATAATATAATTATACAATAATTGCATAGTTTATCGAAATACAAGATAAATTGTCAAACTTGCGAACTTCAACCTTCAATTCACGATTACATTATATAAAAAACTATAAATTGATAGTTATTTTTAAATGTTTTTTAATTGAAAGTCTCGTCTAAAGTGTCGGCAAATACACGATAAGTGCTTCATTAGTGAAAGAAAATTATGGCCACTGCACACAATTTCATTCAAAAAGTAGCCCTAATAACCGGTTAGTATCAATCGTATAGTATGTTTAATGTAATATTGTTTTTGTGTAAATACAATGATTAGTATAATAATGATTGTGTTTGTAATTGAGGGTCGAGTTCAGGGATCGGATCGGCCACTGCTATCCATCTGTCGGCTTTGGGCGCACAAGTGGTGATCACTGGCAGAAACGCCGACAGATTGCACGCGATTGCTCTCCAATGCGACCACAAATCCACACAAGGCTTAAAAGTTTGTATTGAATTTATATTGCGATAAGTTTTTGGTCGCAAATTCTGTGCTCTTTTTATAACATTATATAATATTTCTGAAGTCAATCAATAAGTCTGAAGGCCTTATACAGTGTGAATATAACTGAACTCATCGTTGACAGAGTCTCCGAAATGTCATAAAATAAGATCCTATTCTCAGCACTAATTCATGTTTTCCGGTCTTTATTTAAATTAATATCTCTTTTCCTACAAATATAAAAAATTGAATGAAATGAACCAATTTATGCGTTCACTCGCTATTCAATTCACTTGATATTTGCATAACATTCGCATTCAATCTTTGTTTTTTCAATTGCTTTTCAGTCAATGAATAGATTATAACATATATATTATCATATAATGTTCATAAAGTGTGAACAAATTCTTATACATTCATTATTTGCATTCAAAGATTTGTATACAAAACACTAATATATAATTCATTTGTTCGCAAAACCATAAAATTCAATAAAACTTTTTGTTTGACAATTAATTTACTCACAAAAAACAGGCGCTTCAAGTGATCGCCGATTTGGACGACGAGAATGACTGCAAACGACTGATCGATACGACGATAAAAAAATTTACTAAAATTGATGTTCTCGTCAATAATGCGGCAGAATTTAACTGCAATAGTAATATAATAAATGATGACTCCATACACGTCTACGACAAGGTTTGAGATGACTTTTATTCTTTCTCTTTCTTCCAGTTTTGTTGTGTTTTATTAGAAAATTTAAATAATAAATGAATGAATTGCTAATATCGGTGGTAATTCACAGCTCATTTAAACACGAATCGTAATTTTATGCACAAAAAGTATAGTAATTTAGAGGTAATAAAAATTTAATTACAGGTAATGCGGACTAATTTGCGAAACACGTTTGTCTTAACACACTTTGCAGGTCTGATGATACAAAACTATAATCATAATAAATTTCTTCGACACAAAAACAAATGCTTTGCAATTATTTAAAGGTTTAATATTTGTCTATTAGTTCCGCATTTAATTAAGACAAAGGGATCGATTGTCAACATATCAAGTGTATCGGCTTTCAAACCGGTCTCTAGTCTTCTCTATTTTCTTTTTTAAATAACTCATCAAAACTTTAATTATTATTGTCTATCAATTAACGCCTTATAGTTTGCTAATGCTTTGGCTCACAGTATGGCTAAGAGTGCTATCGATATGTTTACCCGAAGTCTCGCCTATGAATTAGGGCCTCAAGGAGTGCGAGTCAATAGCATTAAGTAAGACCTGACAAATATATGCATATATTCACAAATTATATAACAAATAAATGATTTAATATGAAATACATATAAACATTGTTACTGTTGAAAGTCCGGCTCAGATAAAGACTCCGGTTTACGAGAACTTCGGTATGAGTAAAGAGGAGGTCGAGAAGATGTGGTCAGAAGTGAGCAAAAAGTATCCGCTGGGAAGACCGGGAGAGCCCAAAGACGTGGCCAAAGCGGTGGCATATCTGGCGTCGGATGACTCGTCGTTTGCGACGGGAGTGTCTATCAAACTGGACGGAGGTTTCATGGATTCGCTTCAATTCATTTTCAGCTAAATTTATATAAAATTCAATTACTTTTCGAAATAGAAAATTTGTAAAAATTGAATTTTTCGCAAAATTATTATTATTACTAATAATAATATTGAATTTAAAATTGATTTTCTTATTAAAAAATTTCCCAAAATATTAGTATATTTCAAATGAAACACCGATTGAGTGCTCTTAAAATCTCATGAATTTTAAGCTGTTTTTTAATTTCAAATTTAAATTAAATATTTTTTATTGAATTGATTAGAGCACCGGTGGGGGCATCGACTGTGCTCTACAGCACTTGTGTTAACATATATTTAATAGCTTAGGAGAGCATGAGATCTATTATTAGTATTTTGTCATTTGAATCGAAAATTTTACTTATAATTTAAATATATTAATAAATCTTCAAAATTGTCGTCAACTCAACACTCCTTATCTTAAATAAAACGAAAAGTAACTTTACTTTGTATTGAAATACTGTGCGAGAGTTTGACAGATATATAGGATGTCATATGTGTTAGCGGACAGACACCAGACATCTCTTCATCGGAAAACATACAAAACATTTACTAAATCTAAACAATACATCGAAAATATACAGTATATGACTGAACAGATATAAATCATAATTTAGAAAATAAATGAATGAGGTAGAGAGAGAGAGAGAGAGAGAGAGCGTCTAAACCATTGGGCAGTTGTCCTAAAATTATTAGCTTTAACTCAATTGTGAATGAATATCGTTTTGTTTGACTTTATTTCATAAAAACCTTTTGCACTTGAATTTAATGTTTAATACAATGAAATATTATAATAGGAGAGAGAGAGAGAGAGAGAGAGTTTAAATATATTATTTAAAAAGTTGTATATATTATAAGTGGTTATATCTTATTTACAAAAGTCGATATTTTTATTTTAAGCAAAAAATATGAAATAAATTTTTAGAAATTTGAATATTTTTAAACATTTCGTTAAATTAAATGATTTGGAAAGTTTTGAAAATTTAAAACTTATTTTAGACTGCATTAAGTTTTGTAAAAAAGCATTTGCTTCAATTAGAATTGCATTAAATGTTAAAAACTATATTTTGAATAACTTTATACACATATACGCTATCACTAGAAGTCGAGTCCTTAACATAAATTATATTAAACTAAAGGGAAAAGAAATTTTCTGAATAAAACTTTCCTAACAATTAGATGTTATTTTAAAAGCATTCGTTTAAAATATCATTTGTCAAAATATTTTCTCATAATTTTAATATTTCTTTTTATAATAACACTAATTAACGATAAATACAATAAAAGCATGAGTTTTAAAAAATTTGTTTTTCAAAAACTCCAAACTTTGAACGTCAATAGAAATCATCGTCAGATAAAACGACGACTACTTGTATTATCTGTATTCATAGGTATGAAAGTAATTATGTTTTTATTTTTCAAACAAATAATTTCTATTCAATTAATTCAACGAATGAACAAATTCTCTCTCCTATTATAATATTTCATTGTATTAAACATTAAATTCAAGTGCAAAAGGTTTTTATGAAATAAAGTCAAACAAAACGATATGAACACAAAACAGCAATTTTACAGTTTAGTCCTGTCTTTCTCTCACTTCAAGATTTTGCCTCACATTTGAAAGTCATTCACAATTGAGTTAAAGCTAATAATTTTAGGACAACTGCCCAATGGTTTAGACGCTCGCACTCTCACAGCTCTCGAGACGTCAAAAATAATTATATGCTTTTGGGTCTGAAGTTTCGTAAAGGAAAATATATTTGAAACTATACTTAAATGTAGCCATAAATTAATTATTATGATTATTGTTAGAAATAAGTCTTTCAAATTATAGCCAAATATACAGACATTTCTTTACGAAATGTGAGCTAAAAAATATAAATTGAAAATTTAAAAACTTTGACAAAAAAATAATTTGTTTACAACAATATTTCGCTCCCTTTTTAAAAACGGCAAAAATAATTGACTTCGGGTTTCGGTTTATTAGAGAACAACACTATTCACTATTGCCTTCACTTAATAGACCTTATGTTTTGATTCGTGTGTTAACGCAATTCAAACACATTGTTTACCCGCTTTTTATTCATGTAAAATATATTGCTTTTTAAATTACAACTAATAGTGTGTTTGATTTAAACATTTAAATTGTATAACATATTGACAAACGATTAACATATTGTTTGTTTCGATAATTATAGTTCATTTGGTAAAATATTTATTAAAATAAAATGCCATGAAATTACAGGTTATTGCAGACCATAAAAATGCAATCATTTGCGTACAGAATTAAAAGCATTAAGATTACTTTAGGAATAGTTAATGTTAGTAAATTGTATAATCAATTTAGTATATAAATTAAATAAATTTATTAAATAAATTTATATACTAATAAATAAGGTAAATTTTCTAATATTCAAAATTTAATTACCCGTAATATAAGTTATTATTATAAATAATTAAGTTATAAATATAAGTTAAATTAGCTTTAATTTGTTTTATATTTGTCTTTAACGTAATAAGTAAATAAAAATCCAAGTTTTCTCAAAACAAATTGTTGGCAAACATTGATTTGTTTAAAGTCTTAAGTGAAAAGTATTAGATAGTCAGTGAGGGGTTAAGGATTGCATTAAGTTTCGGCTCATTTTAGAGTTTACTCACAAAAAAAGACTAAAATTTAATGTGGAAATGATGTATAAACAGGTAGTTTTGACATTACTTTGAATTACATTTAGTGCAACCAAATTCTATTAAGAATATCTATTATATAATTATATGATTTTATATCCATTATAAACAAAAAATGAGACAATGATTTCCTGTAAATAGTCTCGTAGTTTCGTATGGGAATTAGAAATGGAAAAAATGATCTTATTTTGGATCAATAATAGGCAACAAATTTCTCACATTAATAGAAAAAACGAATCGAAAAAAATATATAATTTCTTCAATCTTTCGATGATTCGGGAGACAACACATTGCAGAGAGAGAGAGAGAGAGAGAGAGAGAGAGA